TCGGAGGCCATTGCTAGTAGGCTGGAGGCCATTGCTAGAAGGTTGGAGGCCGTTGCTAGTAGGTTGGAGACCATGGAAGTTTCCTTGATCCTTCGAGTGCTCCGTTGTCAGGAGGAGCTGCTGAGAGATGCCACGCACCACGACGTGCCGGTTCGGCGGCGAGCTGTGAAGGACTGGGGGCAAGACGCTTAGAAGAACTCGTTTGGCAAAGAAGAGAAAGACGAGAAGAGAAGGACACAGAAAACAAGACGAAAGATTTGAAGGTAAATGTCTCAAGAATGTTGGAATAATCTTGGAAACGCTCTGACCGTGCGAAGAGCTCCTATGCATCCTCGCTTCCAGTGGTTTCCTTTTGTTTTTTAGCTTACTGATCTCACTTCTAGCTACCTCTCAAGATTTGAAAAGAGAAGTCACATCAAAGAAATAGATAATAGATAATCATTTGGAGTCATGCGAAAAATGATGGACCAATGGATGAAGGACCTGGGGAAGTACCGGGAAGATGGTGAGGCCATTGATGCTGTGGCCAAGGCCGGATGCGTCAGAGTCAGATGCGTGCCATGTGTCGACATGGACATTCGCACGAGGGAGAGTGATTATTCAAGATACCTACTACTGAATGAGAGGGATGCTGGTGAAAGATGAGGTGCCGTTTAAGGTTTTTTCCTTCATTGAATTATTTGGTTGCCTCTCTACTTAACTTGAGTCCACTTCTACCTCTTCTATTTGAAACATTGTGCAACTGCTGTTTCTCTTCTAGAAGTTTAAAAGGAAACATGTTGGGAAACCTTTCTGAGCGGGCAGAAAGGCCCTTGGCGACGAAGATGTTGCTGTCGTTGCCTCAATTGCAAGGGGTTTTGGTGGACACACGTGCCTAGAGGGAGCACGAAAGACTGCACCAAAGAACCAAACACCTTCTCATGCAAAGAATGTGTGATTCCAGTTGTGCTGAGGGTTGTGCGAAACTGGATCCTGAGCCCAAAGAAACATCCAAGCTATTAGGTTGGAGACCATCGCTTCTAGGTTGGAGGCCATCGCTAGTCCAACATGCTTTGCAACATGCTCGGACTTTGCTTGCTCGTGAGGTCCAATTGGCCGCTCAAGGTGCGATGTCCAAAGTGGCTGACATTGGGGATGAGCGCACGGCCCGAATGCCGAGACAGACTGGTGGAGTTGGAGTCCCTTCACCTCAATCAGAGTCCCCCTCCCTTCCGCCTCATCTTGATCAGTCGGACCCCTATGATCTCAAGGGGCATAGCGTCAGTGTCTAGGAAGTTAATGCATACTGGGATGTGGTCAGGGGATATCATTTGCCACTACGTACGCCTGCAAAGCACACACACTACTACCTGAGGGAAAACACGGCAAATCTTGCATCTCGCTCGACCAACAATGATACTTCGGGACCTCCCAAATCACTATGCACAAGGACGCTACTAGGGGCTCCTGGCCTTGCTACTAGGAACAAGAAGCTACTAGGGGCTCCTGGCATCGCTACGAACGGAGCGATCGGACGCCACTAGGAGCAGCACTCGTCACAGCATTGCCACTCGTCACAGCACCACTTCACCGTGTCACCGCACCACGTCGCACATCTCACTTCGTCACGATGTCCGCACAGTAACAAGTGCATCGCTTCTAGTAACAAGTGCCTTACTAGTAGTAACAATGTTTGCTATTAGAAACAAAAGAAGCATAAAGAAGCCAAACAGAGTATTAAGGGATTTGGGAGGGGTCTAAAGGAATAAAGCATAATAAAGCTCTGTTCGTAGCAATGCCCTTTGCTCCTAGAGGCAAAGAGTCTCCTCCCAAATATATAACTGTTCTCGCTGGTCGGATACTTCACTCCAAGGTCAGAGTGACCCTCGAGCGCGTCTCCAGCACTTGTGACCGGCCCTCGATCTGTCGGTTTACTCTTTTTGCCAAACTAAAGTACAAATATATCGAAACGTATGGCAACTGCAGCATTATTCTCGTGTCCGAAAAAGGGTCACCGGGTTCGTAACAAATGTTTTTGTGCTGCTGATTGTTGTGAATATTCCAGTTTGGTGTGAGGAGTGGACGCGGATTGCAGCTCTTAGCACATTAGCAGATATCACGGGGAAGTTCGGCGATGCCACTTGACCTGCTGGGCGAGCATTTGTTGTTGCCGTGACTTTCAGTAACGCAAGTTGAACAAAGCAGAAGGACATCGGCAGCTTGATGACGAGCTTACACGAAACGCATCCAATTTCTAGCTTTCCGGTTGTGTATGTCGTAATTAGGCAGTGTAGTGTGGAGCTACTTTCGTAGCAGCTGTGAGAGCAGCTGTCCTCCTCTAAGGCCACTAGAGGCACTGCACTGGACTTTAAGGCTGGAATGTTTCCCTTCTTGGAACAAGACGCTCCTAAAAGGCCTTAAATGTCAAGCAAAGGATCAACTGGATGGCAAGGGCATCACTTCTAGTAACAAGGGCATCGCTATTAGTAGCTAATTTGCTACTAGTAACAAGAAGCTACTAGGATCAAAGGCCACTCCAAACACCTGGACTCAAGTCTTGGATGAGGTAGATACTGCTGTGCGTGGACGATTGGAGGACAGCGACTGGGGTGTTTGGCGCTTAAGCCACTGAAGCCGCTTAAGCAATCAAAACCTTTGAGAATGTGTAGAGCGAAATGAATTTGATTAGGTTTCTCAAAAGGCATTGTGTGTTTGTTTTGCATAGCCCTCTTTATGGTTCAAGGTCAGAAGAGCTGCGATCGACACAATGGCTTCACGAGCCAAGCCGGTTCAAGCCTCACAATAGACTCTGACTTTTTGACTCAAAGGAATGCTGCAAGAAAGACGCATTGGGAGGGTCATGTGAAAGCATACAAACACATTCAAGCAGCTGCTTTGGACCCAAGCGGATACACGTCTAAGATATGTTGCTGAAAAAATGACACATTTGACTGCAAAGCCTATTGAATAGGTTAAGTTTCCCTGAACATCTAGGAACCAAATCATTAGTGCAAGCGAGAGCTATCCTGCGTCCAGTACCTAGGAGGGAACAAGTTCCTAGTAGCGAACTAGTTTCTCCTCCCATTTAAATAAGTAGGCACCTTACTTAAGTAAGTAGGGAGGGGGGGGGAGGTCGGCCTTAAAAAAGAGTCGTTTCAAGAAACCCGGCCGCAACCAAGAACTGTGACGAGACCTTGGAAGCGGCCAAGAAGCTGCTGGAGGCGGAAGAAGCTGCTTTCTGCAGTGCTGCTTTGTTTCCACAAGGAGCCCCTAGTAGCGATGCCCTTGCTCCTAGTAGCGATGCCAGCC